ACATAAAGAAAAACAGAGTTGGCCTAAAGTTGGAAAGATCCAGAGGGAAAAAAGGTTCTGTAGATACAGAGAAAGAACACAATCCTCTTAAAAAAATATTCGAGTTCTTTTGCTTGCTGCCTCAATAGATTTTTCTTTACTTTTGTTGTGAATATAAGCCGTTGCTTAAACTGTAGATTTTTTTTTTAAATCAAATTAAATCGAAGCAAATAACTTTATAAAAATTGTCCAAATCAAACCAAAATGGTAATAATCATATCGTGTCTGAAATGAATAATTTGACCGTTGTGGCGTAGAAAGAGAAGTAGAAGAATGTATCAATATCGTGAAAAGAAGGAGCATTCTAGAGTTTGGAGAGTGATGACATGGACATGACCCCATCGCTTAGTATCCGTTACCACAACCGTGAAAAAAAAACGAAAAAGCAAGAGAAAAAACCGTTACAGTGGAAACCACGGGTCCCGCGTGCAGAAGTGGGTCCCACGGGCAGGTTCACGGTGGAACCGCCAAGTCGTTTCGGACCATAACTTTTCGTTGGAATGGCGTGTTCTGGTTCCCTTTTCCTAATCTCTCTTTTTTTCTCGAAATTTAAAAAAAAAGTGTTGTGGCTATGGATCCACCACGTGTCAACAAGATATGGGATAAGGGTATTGACTCCCTCCCTTGGGGTTCGCGTTTCCAAAGAGGATTAATCTATCTGTAAAAACGAATAGAAATGTGACACGTGTGTAGGGCGTGATTAACTATGGGTTGCAGACGATTCTGTAATTTGGAGCAGAATGACGAAGACTGGTCGAGAGTGAGAAGACCAGGTTGGCATACTCCACAGTGAAGTACTAGTTTTTTTTTTTTTTTTTATAAAAATATCATAATTATTAAGTTTTATTTTATTATTGGACACACCATTAGAGTTTTTTGTACTTATTATGAGAAGGGAGTGGTGCTTGTGCAGGCACTTTCAAATTGAAACCCTGCTCCACTCATGCAATTGCGATCCTTGATTCCTTTCACAACATAGTTTAGTTAAATTTGCTTTAATTGTTTCTTCTTTTTTTTCAATTTCATCAAATTATTTTTCTAATTTAACTTTTTTTTTTTAATTTATAAACTAATAATTATTTTTTCTAAAAGATTCAAAGCTATATAAATGTTCATAAAATAAAACCAAGCTCAATTGAACTGAAGAATAGTATCTACATTAAATGTCATTGTGAACGTTTGTTTGTTTTTTCTTTCTTGATAGATATTTTCATGCAAACTAAAATTTCCATAAATCAAAATAACAACGACAAAAACATTAAAATATATATTTTCTTAAATGTATTCCTCCTTTTTCTTCTTTGTTCAAGTAAAACAAAAAAAAAAACAAAAAATTGTACAAAAATCTCTACAACTTTATAGTATCCTAGTTTTTTACAACAAATATTTTTGAAAAATAAAAAGGAAATTGAGAATTATAAAATACACCATTGTCTTCATGTTAACAAATACTATTCAAATATGATTTTCAAATAAACTTCTTGACTAAAATCTGTAAATTATCAAGGCACCTTGGTCTCATCAAACTGATCACAATATCATTTTGAAGTTTCATTCATTAAATTCAAATTAATTTAGATTTTTCATCATAATAATTAAAAAAAACAATGAAAAAATAATAAACAATATTATTTAGATTAAAAGAAAGAGTATAAATAGATAAAAATAAAATAAATTATATATTATTTTAATATTAATTTTAATTAATTATGTGATTATTATTATTATTATATATATACTAATAAAAAATATTACATAATTCATTATGCTATTATTTTCACAAATCTCTTTGTATAATTCTAAATAAAATATGATTAAAAATTTTCAAAGTTTATGGTTTTTCTTCTCAGAGTACAATGATCGCATTTTTTTTATAAATGCGACTTTAGTCACTTGAAACAAACACAATGTTAGAATAAAGAAGTACGTACGATCAAGTGACAAAAAAAATTATATATATATATATATATATATATATATATATATATATATATATATAATGAAGAACAAAATATATATTAAATTTTGTGGTGTACTAAAAAGGGTATAATTGTTTGGATTTAAAGCTTGTCCTCATTAATTTATTTATCATTTCATGTCAAATATTTCCTTGTTGATGTTGAATAGTTTTGTTATAATTTTAGTACGAACAAACATCTTTATAGATTAACAAAAATTATTATAGAGAATTTATCTCAAACTTTAATCTTTTAAATACATTAGAACAAGATATTTTAGGTGAAGTTAAAAAATATATATATTTATTTTAGTACTTAATAATTTGGTCATAACTTTGTAAACAAAAATATATAGTTATGAATTAAGGTTACTTAAAATTGAGACCCATCTAGTAAATTGAAAAGTTACATATATCACATTATTTATTGCCTTGAAAAAAATATTGCAATGTAATTTATAACTAGTTGAATTACATCATAAAGAATATAATAAAACCTACAGCAATAAACATGTAAACATCAATGGAAGAAGGTTTTTATGATGCTAATTCCATGATCAACAAGAGAGAACAAAAATGTAAACGGTTAAACAAAATCACTAAATTTTTTCAGTGGTTTGGAAGCTCGTTTACACAAATTGAAAAAAATATAACAGTTAAAATTAAGCACAATGAAAACAAAAGAGAAAAAAAAAAACATAATATTACACAACTAATAACCCAAAATGAACATATAAAAAACATAATCATTTAACAGTGATCATAATTCCCTTAATTAGTCAATGCTCAATTCATTATTCATCTATAATTAATAGTTTGGCAAGACTTCCATAACCTACTCCACCACAAGTTGTTTCAAGTACAAAGGGAATTGTTTTCTCCCTCAATATACGTCAACCATTGATTACATTTCGTAGGTTTGGTATTTGCTACGAGGGATAGATATATCCAAACATCTAGATTCCTAGTGCTTTTTTCAAGAACAGAATCTATTTTTCATAAACATATGAGAAATTTCACCTCATAGTAATTAACAATCAGTTAATTATAACTATATTTAATTAATGAGAATAGTAGTAGCGGGTCAGAAAGTTGAAGATAAATTATTTCAAAATTAATTAGTTTTCAGAATTTGTTTCAATTAATCGTATGTTTTGGCGCAAAAAAACAGTGCAACATATACTGTTAATGAAAGGTGCACATGTGTTATTTTTTCTTAAAGGTACGTGTTTTTTTACTCTAACATTTCCCCTGAACCTCCTGAGAAGCAGAAACAGAATACTACCAAGGAATATGTTATCTTAAAAAACAATAAACGGCGAAACAAACTTGAAGTCCACGACCATTCTATGTTTTTCGTAATTAAAACATAGTATCCCCATATATGGGTAGTTAGTGTAGAATTATTTTTACCAAGAACATAGTTTGTAACCAATGGAAGTTTGAATGATAAAAGGTGGGGACCTAAATTCATTTTCGTTTACTTAAAAAAAAGGCATGCAATGCAAGCGTATATATTCTCTAATTTAAAGTACTAAAAAAAAACAAAGATAACATTTAATTTTAATTTATGGATAAATTATTGAAATTTTAATAATTAAATCACCATCTAATTATTATTCAATCCACAACAATTAAATGGTACCGATACAGTATCAAATGCAATGTGTTAAATAGTAGTATCAAAATAACATAATATAAAAAATCAAACTTTCGTGTGATATTCACTCCTCATAATTCATACAATACAATGTTAGTTCATTTGTATCATATTACTGGATTAAAATTCTTCCACTTGCTACATTTTTAGATTTTTCTAATTACTGTTTCATCTGTGATTGCGTTTGAGGCAAATACTACCATTTAACTTCATTTTGAATCAATCTGATTGATTTTTAGTTTTCTCACATGTAATGTTGAGAGTTGACAAATTTTATCCTTCATAAAGACGATATAAACTATTTTTGGTTTTTACACGTTTTATTTTATATCCTTCAACTATTATATCTGTAACTCCTTATTCTTTAATTTTTTTATACCATGTCTCTTTATTCTTTCATTTATGCTCTAACATCATATTTGGTAAATATGTAACTCGCTTACATATTTTATATTCGAACCATCACATGTTTGGTAATGGTGCTTAGTAATTAAAATTATAATTATAATTTTCTTTAAATGTTATCTTAAATTTCAAAAGGTAGTGTAACGTAGCCTTTAAATTATATTAGTCTGGGACAATAAAATAACTATAATGACAACAACTTGATGAACATTCCATTTGGATTAAAAAACCATGTATGAAATTACGTTTGGAATGGTATTTAAAGATTCTAAACAAGAGTAAGAATCGTATAATTTAGTGTTGCAATCTGGATATCTTTCTGAATAACTTGCAGAGTAACAAACAAATGAGGACAAGATAAAACACAAAACACCTTGCGATAATAAGATGGAAGCGGTAGAAAAATGAACAAGTTGTGGAAGTTTGAAGAAAGTGTGAAAACCCGTGACTGCAAGGTAATAGCCAACTACTACTCTACTAAAATGTAGATTCTGAAGAGACGAAAAATGACAAAAACAAGAGAAATAAAAATATGGAAATGAAAAAGAAGGGAGGCAGTGGGAGTGGTGTGGTGTGGTGTGGCAAAGTGAGGTGGAGTGAAGGGTCGGTGAAGTGAAAGCTAAAAGCCTAACACCAAACCAAACCAAACCATTTTTTTTTTCTTCTAATTTTTTAAAATTTTGTACTATATGGCATGCCTGCCAAATTGGACAGTTCACATTAACACCAAAATAGAAGAGTTTTTAGAAAAAGAAAAAAGAAAATTTGGTATAATTCTGAGGTGCACCAGCAGCATATATACCCCTCTCTGCTCACTCTCTTCCACACTTGCCTATAACCAAAGTTTCTTCCTTTCTTGGCTCTTTGCCTTCTCTGACAACCGAGGTTCCTGTTTGAGCGTGTTGTGGCAAGAGGGTAGTAGTGTATCCGTGTTATCCTATGGCCAAGGACGTTGAGGTTACTGAGCGTGGCTCCTTCTCTGGGAAGGACTACCATGACCCTCCTCCTGCGCCCCTCATTGATGCTGAGGAGCTCACAAAGTGGTCCTTTTACAGGGCTCTCATTGCTGAGTTCATTGCCACTTTGCTTTTCCTCTACATTACTGTGCTCACAGTGATAGGGTACAAGCACCAGAGTGACCTCAAGGACCATGGTGATGTCTGTGGTGGGGTTGGCATTCTTGGCATTGCATGGGCCTTTGGTGGCATGATCTTCATCCTTGTTTACTGCACTGCTGGGATTTCAGGTTCCTTTTCTCGTCCTTTCCTTCTATCCTTTGGTTCTATATAGAAAAATAGAAAAAAAAATTATATATTCATTTGTCATGATTTCTACAAGTTTTGCAAACTCTCATTTTTTTTTTCTTTTTCCTTTTGCTGTGTTGGTTGTCTGAAAAAAAATGTTTACTGGTTGAGGATTTCCTCTCCGTTGAATTTTGTGTTCCTTGGCTTCCTAATATTGAAACTTCCTCTGTTTAAACCCCATTTATTCAGAAGTGTTTTTCAAAATAAAAAGGATTTGTTAACTCGTTTCCTTTTCTCCTTCGTGTTTCCTAGCCAAATGGAGGAGCTTGCTGTTTATGGACTATGTTTTCTGTAGGAATTGTTTGTTCAGGATTACCATGTAGTTTCAATTCTCATTGACCGGGATTTTTTTTGTTGTGGTTTGCAGGGGGTCACATTAACCCAGCAGTGACATTTGGGCTGTTTTTGGCACGCAAGGTGTCTTTGATCCGAGCTATCATGTACATAGTGGCTCAGTGCTTGGGGGCTATCTGTGGAGTTGGGTTGGTCAAGGCCTTCCAAAAGGCTTACTTCAACAGATATGGTGGTGGGGCTAATTCTCTCGCTGATGGGTACAGCACAGGTACTGGATTGGGTGCTGAGATCATTGGCACCTTTGTTTTGGTATACACTGTCTTCTCTGCCACTGATCCCAAGAGGAATGCTAGAGACTCCCATGTGCCGGTACCTTCTCAATCATTTATCTTACTATCAGTTTCTGTTTGTGATACTGTGGCCTTGTCTAAATTAAATTGTATGTATGAATAATATATCAACTGTAGAACATGATATTGCTGTCTGAGTCCTGCTTGAAGGGAAGAGTATGTTAAATGTTCTAAATTAACATAGTTTAATCTGTTTTGCTGTTTAGTCTTTTGTTGCTTTTAAAATACGGGAAATAGTTTTTAAGACAATGATTCCGAATAGCATCTTGTCGAAGGCAAATAAAGTACTGTGCATCAATAATAGACCTATATATTAGGCCGTACATCTCAGTGTTAAATTAAATGACTTTTTCCTCAGTTTTATTGCTTTGCTTGTTGTAGCCATCTTGTGTGATTGTTAGTTTTCCAAAATTGAAAGTGGCAAATTTAATTTCAGAGGGATACATCTTTGATTTGTCTAGGCATCCTAGGGTGGTGAAACTACCGCTTTCCCTCACCAAATTTTCCAAATGAAATGATGTTATTAAAGAACTGTAACAGTGGCGTGCGTTTGTGGAACTTGGGTCCCCTCTTATAAGTGTACATTAGTTTGTGGTGGTGGTTGAATTTCATGCCCCCGCACATGATTATATGGTTACGCAATTTCTTCCAGTTTTGAGAAAAGTGGATTCTACTTTGTTCCATGAAAAGCAAGACGCATCCATGTTATCTAACAGTAATGGACTTGTAGTGTCTCAATTTCATGATAAAAGTGTTCATTATTGTGTCTCCGATGCTTGTGTCATTTTCCCAAGGCTGGCAATTCTAGTGGAAATGTCCAGCTACACCCCATTTTACCAATTATCAGCTTGAGTTCCCAAATAAAATTGCCTTTTACAGATAATTGTAATTTAAGTAAGATGAAAAACGGGCGTCACATGATAGTATGACCCATCTGTCACAACTCAATTGTCAATTGTTTTGTCACTACCATGTTCTTTTTTATAAGATAATTTGGAATCATGTGTTTGGAATAACTTTCCATCAACAGTATCTACTTTAAATCAATCGCATAAGATTCTTAATAAGCTTTATTCTATATCAGGTTTTGGCTCCACTTCCCATCGGATTTGCTGTGTTCATGGTTCACTTGGCCACCATCCCAGTCACTGGCACCGGCATCAACCCTGCTAGGAGTCTTGGTGCTGCTGTTATCTACAACCAAGCTAAGCCCTGGGATGACCACGTAAGCTTATTGCTTTTGTTATTACTATATCTAAATTTATAATCAATATAAGTGGGGTTAGAACAAAGAAAAGTTTATAAAGTTGTAGCTTTTTCTGATATATTGTTCCCTTGTGCCTGCCAGTGGATCTTTTGGGTAGGACCATTTATTGGGGCAGCCATTGCAGCCTTCTACCACCAGTTCATCTTGAGAGCAGGTGCAGTTAAGGCCCTTGGATCATTCAGGAGTAACCCCCATGTTTGAGTTGTCTTTCTCTTCATGATGGCTCTTTTGGAAAGAAGATAATTGGAGAGATGGAGTTGATATTGCAACTTTAATAATGGGAAATGCTTTTGGCTTGTATTTGCAAAGTTTCTTTGATCCTCTCAATTATATGTCTTCAAGATTGTGGATAAGTGTAGATTAAAGTCTCTTTCATGACAGGGGGAGCCTTTTGCACTTTCCTCTGTGTTGCCTTTAGCGTGTCATTGTTCTTCTAAGTTATTCTCTTCTGTTATCTTTGTACTCAAATATATTTATGGAAAAAATATTTTTAAATTTTACCTTTACTGCATCCCTTATTACACACAGCAACAAGTGACGTTGTAAGTAACTACTAATTTAACTAACTGTAATGTAATATCGAAAAATGCTTCTGAAGGTGGTAAGCATGTGGCTTCCTGAAAAGTAAAATCCTACGTGCGTAGTCTAGTCATGAACATCTCAGCATCTTACTGTATCATCTCTAATCGTCTTCCTCCTGCTCACGAGAAATGCTGGAATCTTATGGCCACACCAGGCCCTGGAAATCCATTGCCACATCAGATGCTGCTGTGATGTGATTTTTTTTTCCTTTGACATAATATAAGAATATTGTGCTCATGCAGTTAAAGTGCTTCCTTTGAAAAGATTTTTCAATGACATAGTTTAAAATTATTATTTTAGTTTTTAAAATACGTTTATCTTTAAACTGAACGCCCACTTTTTAAGAGCAGTACATATATCATACGATGGTGATGCATAAATCTTTCATTTTTTTCCTCTTTGACGTTTTTCTATTATACTCTTTAAAAAAACAATTTTATCCAATTTTAATGTATGTAACAATGTTCAATCAGACCTATAAATAATATATTTTAAAAGAAATATTATTCAAATAGAATCTTAATCTTTATTTTTTTATTTTATGTAATTTTTTTCTCATAATTTTTTCGTTAATTATTATTTTTATTTTTGAACACGTCTAGTGAGATGTTTATTAAGATATTAAAATAAAATATTAATTATTTGGAATAATTTCTCATTAAAGAAATTTTATGTGACATGATAAATGTTTAATTTTTTTTATAATTATTTCATCAAATAATTTATAAATATAAACAAAAAAAATAACAAATAGAATGATTTTTTTATTTATTAAAAAAATCTAATGAAATAAAATCAACAATAAATTACTATCATAAATTTTTATTTTACATTTTTTAATATAAGAAATAACTCATATTAAATATTTCAAGATATCCTTATTTCTCTTAATCTTTCTATCTTCATTTCCACTTATTCTTCTAATTAAATTACTGTATTTAAATTTAATAAAAATATGTTAAAACAAAAAATTTAAAATCAATATTAAAATTTTAAAAAATATCAACTAATTATTTAAAATTATGATAAAAATAAATATCTTTTATTTATTATGATAGTGAATATTTACAATGACATAAATAATTAATTTTAAATTATTTTATTATGATAAATAATTATTTCGAGTTAAATATATTTTCTACGCACTAATTTAAATTAGTTATAATTAAATTAAGTTATGATAATTAATTAAATTATGTAAATTTTAAATCTATTTATTAAAAAAAATTACTTTAAAATATATATTTAATTCTTTTCTTAATAATTATAATATAATAATATTTGTAATACCTTAAATTTATTATATAATATTTTTTGAAATATAATATATTAAATTATAATATTTCTCGATCATATAAAAAAGGAAAACAAAAATATTAAACGAAATTATAGAAAAAAAAAGTATATTGTATCTAACGAATTTATTTTTTATTGAATTTTACGTATGAATACTAAATAACAAATTTTAAAAATTTTATTTAAGTTATTTTTTAAAATATATTATTTATGATAATTATTCTATGTGAAGTGAGTGTTTTTTTTTTACTTGTTTCGGTAAAAATTCCTACAGAATATATAAATTAACAAAAGAAAATGTGTTTCTTTTAATCTTGTATAAGTTAAAATATATATTTTTTTTATATTGACTTACGTAAAGGTTATATATAAGCTATATTGAGTTAAATTGACAAGTAAAAAACTTTGTTTTATTTTCTAATCTCTTATTCATACAAAATATCATTTTAATATGTTAATAGTATATAATATATTTTAAAAAAATTATAAAATGAAGAGTTTAAAATAGTTATTTAATTTTTTTATAGAAATTAAAATAAAAATTAACTATTTTTATAAAGATTAAAAATATGTATAAACTTATTTTAATATTATAATACTTCAGGGCCTGAAGTTCAGGCAAAGCTACCGGTATTTGGAAGAAAAACTCAAATTAGATTTGAGGTTTATTTCGCTTTAAAATATTTGAATAATAATTAAAAAAAGTAAGAAGAAAAAACGAAATATATTTCTTTTTATGTTATAAATTTGGTTTATATATAAATTTTAAAAAATTACGTGAAAGAGCCTATTGAAATTAACGTATCCTCAGTTTAAACTTATTGAATATTTGTTTTTCCATGATCTTTTTGTTTCTTGAATTGTGAAATGGTCATAAATTAAAGTCCATATAATTAGGTTTGTTACCTTTTTCGTTTCTGAGAGTAATTGAGAAAGATGAGTTGGTAAATGTTTGTGAGTGCAGTATTCTTTCATCATGTTTAGATTTTGAAATAATGAGTTTAATTTAGTAGCATTTTTTTAATCATTACAAATTTAATATCAAAATAAATTTATATTTTTTAAATTTAAATTAAAACTAATTAATTAATTTTTAACTTTATCTTTAAAAAAATATTATGGAATGAATTTTTGATTGACCTTTGAAAAACTTTTTAAAAATATTTTAATTTTTTTTAAAACGTTTCGGAATCAACTTTCCATAAACATTTTTTATTAATCCTTACAGAATGGTGAATTCATATTCCAAATTTCGTAATTCATAACTTAAACCAAACATATAAAAAAGTTATTTATGAATTTCATTTTCCTGATATTTTCGAAATGGTAAAATAATATTCTGAATTTCATATACAGAACTTAAAAGAAGTTACTAGTTTCGGATTTATTAATTTGGGACAGTCCAAAATACCGAAACACACTGGAATAATATTGTCTTTTAAAGAAGATTTTGGATGCAAAAAGATGAAGCTATAGAAATGCAGAAAAATGAATCAAACAAACAGTTAGAAAGCATGCATAGTGGGCTTAAAAATCAACGGAGTTCGGCCCAAAAGGCCCATGTGTATTTGATTGAGCAAAGCACAGTTTATGGCGTGCAATCACACCCTGTGAAAGATAAAGAAGGACTAAGAATTTTCTAGATTCCCGCAAATTCTTAGTCCTCGTTTCGTTATTCTTTTCTTTCTTTTGTGGTTACAACAGAAAGACTAAGAAATTATTTAGAACATTCCTAACATTTCAATTTCATAAACAAAATTGCATAAAAGAGGGAAAATGAAGGGGGCAGTAGAAAATTGCTTTGCATCAGAAATCCATTTTTTTTAGCAGTAAAGATGATGTTAAATCAGTGTATTGTTTTAAAAATATAATAACAAATCCACATTTTTTTAACCTTATCAATACTCAATTAAATAATAGGATTCATGGAAATTTTAGTTAGTAAATTTTTTAAATCCACAGTTAAATTATAAAATACGTAATTAAATTATAGTAAAAAAGGTCTCAATTAAAGTTAATATTTATGGTACTAAAAAAATTATGAGAAAAAAAGTCCAATGACCCATATATAAATACGAAAAATTAGTTTTTTCTAAACCCTAAAATGAATATGTATTAATCATCAATTATTTTTGGTGATTTTGCACGTATATAAAATTCATTTTCATATTAATTAATTTAACATCTAAAATAACATCATATATATATATATATATATATATATATATATATATATATATATATATATATATATATTACGGTTTGATTAACTGACACGAACTTCAACAAGATAATAAGGTTCGATAGAGTAAGACGAGACAGGGAGCATGTGGTCCATCCAATTTACGTGGTCCTTGAATTATTCCATCGTTTTCGCTGCGTTAAAAGCTTAACCCAACGCTCTTTGTTGTTCCATGTCACTTAGTTATGAATTGCACCTTATCATTTTTCTGTTAAATGTAACAATTGCGAATAATCCTTCATTAAATATCATAAATTTTTATTATATAGAAATGGTTAATGTTATTTTAATTTATGTTTTATGGAATTTCATCTTTGTTGCACCATGTTTATGTTTTGTTTATACCTTTAGATCAAATCTACATGCATGTCAAATATATACATATAAAAAAAAAAAATTTATGTTTTCTTCTTCTGCTTTACACGTGGAAACTTGTTATTCAATATCAAACAAGTAAAATCATTAATCATTTTGAGTGACTTAGGTTTAGTGGTCCCAAAACTTTTGAGTCAAGTAAAGGATACAATGGCAAGTAGACAATTTTTTTTTTCTGAAATTATAAAGGAAATAGAAAATAGTTTTTCATCATCTTCTTTATAATTATTTTAAAATTATATACACTTATCAAGTTAGAAATTTTGGTTATTCGAGAAATAAGAAAACTATAATATCTGTCTCACAAAAATAGTAAAATTATATTCTACACTATATTGTAAAATATATCTAATGATAATAGCATTTTTTTTTTATTCTACAAACTTAGATATGTATAATATTAAAAAACATGTTAGCTTGACCTGAAATTGATTTAAATACTGTTGATTGTGAGTAGCTGAAATTTGAATCCGATAAAGTTTTTCAATTGTTCGGTGTGAAATTAATGAATGCAGCTGATGGACAACTTATAGGCTGAAGAATTCAAATTTATAAATTTCATAGAAAAAAAAAATTGATCCTTTATTAGATTATTTTATTTTAATAAATTATTTATACATGAAACAATTATTGAGGAAGATATTATATTTTGTGAAGAAATGGATCTAATAATTTAGAATATAAGTTGTTATTCATTGTTGCATAACATATATATCAACGAAAATAAGCATTTGTAAGATAGGAAAATGGAACTGTAGGCACTGCTTTTCCTCTGTGTTGTGTGTTTTGTTCTTTTTGACCAACCGCTTTGTGATACTTTGGCATCTGCATTGGAAATTTCCATTGTTGTCCTCTTCTCAGAGTACTTTACCCACCAATCTCGTTTTCGTTACTTACAACCATTTCTGCACTCAAGAGTGGTTAATTCACTCCGACACACTCACCTCAAAGGAAGTTGAAGGAAGCTCTTCAATTTGGTCTCTACGAGGTTGTTTGTTCAAAACCTAATTAAAGATGGCACCCATCACCACCTACTTCTTCATGCTCATGTCCTCAGTCTTTTACGTTTTCTGGGATGCCCGTATGGTGCTACAAGAGTTCACTGCTCAGGATCATCTTTCCTTTCCATTCTTGGGTTACTCTGTCAACCCTCATGAATATCCAATCATTCTCTGAATCATGTTATGTCTCTCTCTTCTCTATATCACTCCAATGTTAATTACACTATGTTCATACACTCTGTTTTTCTCGGATTCACCTTTACTTGTGGAAGTGTTCTGTTTTACAGATATGTTATTATGAATGTTTATCCCTGTGGGTGCTGGAGAACAGAGAGAAAGTGATAAATGTGAAATGTAATATGATTAGGAAAATGGAGAGATAAGGAAATAGAAATAGGAATGAGTGACGATTGAGTGAGGTGTATGTTTGTAACAGCTTTTTATTTTATTTGTAAATTACACTTCTTCTTTCTGAGATCAATCAAGTATTTTCTCAATTTTTTAGTTTATGTAGGTAAAGCAATAAGCACATTCATTTTGTTTCTTAATTTTTAGTTTTTTACCTTTTCCGTGTCTTAATTTAATAAATTAATTATTTTATATAACTTTCTTCTTAATTTTATTGAATAAAATGAAATATATACATAACATTACTTAAAAATTACCTTCTTTTCTCATATCCTTCAAATGCTTTTATAATTTTTCTTTTATTAATCTATATCATTATATAAAGAATTTTTTAAGGCTTTTTTTATTTAATAAATTATTTATCTTAGATTTTTTATTATTATTTGAATTATATTTTCTTCAAATTTTCTCAAATATAAATATAAATAAAATTAATTTAAAAAATATTTTCTTTTCACTATTTCAATCACAGGTTTTTCTTTAATATATACTTTTGATAAAAATAATAAAAATTGTCATTCTTCCTTATTTTTCTTGTTTTCTTTAATGTGTCTTTCCTCTTAAAAAATTTATAACATGTATTTTTAAAATTAACATATATTAATTCATTAATTTAAAAAAAATGTAATAAAAAATATAAGCACGCCAACCTCTCTGTTTTGTTAATCAATATAATGTTCTCTTCTTTGTTTTTATTGGTGTAAAAAATGTCCCATCTAATTTGTACTTTAAAACAAATTATAATTTTAACGTTCTATTTAATATCAAGTAAATAAATAGATTATTCTATTATTTGAAAAAATTGTTTCTAATTTAATTCATATTAGTAAATTGATTTCAGATATAAAAATTATTACATATTTATATATTTTAATAAAATAAAACATAATGGTTATTTTAAAACTAAATATTACGACTATTTTTATATTTTTAACAAAATCAATATATTTTAAACTCTCCCTATGTAAAAGTTTAGAAATTAATAACAAATAAACGGTATTAAAATGGAAAGAAAGTTACAGGATAATTATACAGTTAGAAATAGATATTGAAGTGATGACTCTACATAACGATGATCAAATCTCTCGAATCAAGTATAAAATTTCTGTTACTTGAAGATGTTCCTTTTGCTTTAAGTTATTGTATCTCTTTGCTTTGCTTTTGGTTTTTGTAGCCATCATTTTCAATGAGTGTGACCAATACTTAATGATTGTTGTTTGCAAGACACAAGTGTGGACGAAGGATGTTCGAAGAAACATTATATGTAACACCCACTCGATGGGTATGTCGTGAAAGAATGTTTGCTACAATTGTAACATTATCTTTTATTTTCATTGTTGGACCAATATTTTAGGGTTTCACATCATATTAGTATAATATGATTTCTTTTTTCTCAAGGTATAAGTTTATTATTTTTATTTTAGTAAATTACAATAACACTCCTAAAATTTATGAAGCAGCACATTTTACAGTTCTGTGAAATCCTCGTAATGAAGTACTGAAATTCTAACAAAATTTTGAAGTTTGAAAAACATTGACTGTAAAGAATAAGGTAGAATATTTAGAAACCATGAAAAGAAAAGTAACAACTGTTTCTTTGTTTTCATATTTAATCTTTAGTCACTATCATACAGATGTTATGTCTTCTTTTCTTCTTTTTTTTAATTCTTCTATATGCATTTACGGGATGAGTTAACATTAAAGCTATTCTAACATCTTGCAAACAAGTATGTTACAGAAGAAAGTTTAGCTCTTAATCTCAGTTAAAATATTAAAGCAAGTGGATTATCAATGCGAAAATAGGCAATGACCAGAAAGAAGAAAAGCTTGGTCGAATATGGGTCAAGAAAGTAAAGTGGGTGGGATATGTAATATGGAATGGTTGCTTTTAAAGCAGAGAAATGGAAATGTGCCCATTTGCCGACAATAACGTTTTTAGACTTTGAAAATAATGCTTTTGGAAGACAAAAGAAAAAAAAAAAAAAGGAGAACTGAAAACTGGGAATAACACTCAACTGATCAGCTAGGAGGAACGAGAGAATTGAAGGAGGAAGGTTATCTAAGACGTGAAGTAAGAGTTTGCATGATCCCAAACGAAAATGAGTGATTGATAAATTTTCGTGTTATCTGTATCTTTATTATTAGGAACTTTTTTCCTTGTTAAATTATGTGTTATTTGATAAAAATATTACATGTTTGAAAATTTTTATTTTATATTAAATAAATAATAAAATGTGTAATAATAATTATATAATAAATTTAAAGTGAGTGAGATTTCTTATTTTTATCAAAGAAATTTTAAGTTTATATTTAACTTTTTTTTATCATATTGTAATAAAGTGCCGTAAAATTTAGTTTAAATTCTTATTTTAAAAGATGTGAATATACTTAAAATCAAGAGTAGGAAAGAATTATTTATGTGTTATAATTTTTTTTATATAATATTATTGTTTATTTATTATTAAATTACGATCTTAATTTTTTTCTTATTTTTAATATTTTCATGTTATATTTTTATGTTAATTATTTTTTTCTTGTTTATCTAGTGGTCAACATTTTTTCCATAAGTAAGAGTGATCCATATCTTATTTGTATTGTTTCTCAATTTTGTAGCATGTGCATAACTGAGTTCGCATAATGGGCAACACATGGGGAACATTTGATCATGCATACCCTTGTTTCTTAGAGATCAAATTTGTGAAGGTCAGTGGTAATAATTACAAAGAAATAGGTCCATAGCTTTGTATTTACAGGTCCCACACTGTGCAGATATTATAAAAAATTCTAATGCTGAGAACACGACTTGTTTGTGTTGTGCTGAGTTGCTTCAGCTTGTGAGCCAAGTGGGTATGAAGAACAAGAAGTTGTGGAAAACGCTCTTGAGGCATTCATTTGCTTGCGGCCGGGCTTGGGCTATTTCTGCAGAAGGCTTTATCCACTCCAGTTTGAGAGTTGATACGTGGGATTTGTCCCAAGACCTAGATTCCTTCCACCAATTTGAGAGGGCTCGTTTTCACTTCCTCTTACGTAGAATCAAATATATTAAATACCCTTTTTTCAAAAAAAATTTTAGCCTGATTTTTTTATTTGTGTATAATCTTATGTATAAATTATATATTCTTAAACTTAAATTATATAAATAGACCCAAATTTTTTAAGAAGGTTGAACTTTTGTAATATATTCTAGAATATGTTTCGAGAAAGTCTAATTTAAAAATACATTTAAAATTTAGTGTTCTAGAAATATATCCCTTTTTAGAAAATCCTTTTTAGAAACACATTTTAAATTAGTGTTCCATAATATATTCCTAAAAAAGTTTTTTTAAAAATACGTTTTCAAAAAAGTATTTTTGAAAACATATTTTAGATGGAGGGTTCTGAAAAGGTGAATCTGTATTACATAAAAATGAAAATAAGGATAAGTATAAAAATAAAATAAGTTTAATTTAATTATAAGGTGCAGTGAGAAATTATGAGGGTGGAAGAAGTAACAGGCATTTGAGAGTTGATATGTGGGATTTGAGCCCAAGTACTAGATTCCTTGGGTCTTTAGACCTTATAGAGAGCTTATCTGTGGGATTTGTGAACGAAGGCCCAGATCTCTTGGGTGGGTCAATAGACTAGAGGATACTGCATGAGTGAGGCTTGTTTCACAGGCCCTCCCTCTGTCCTTGCGGCAACAAAAGTCCAGAACCAGTAGAGGTTGTTGGACCATCACACTGTTTAAGTGTGTCAACTACTTTCCTCCTCCTCATTAATTAAAAGTGATGAACGTCAACCTCCACCTCTCCCATCATTTTTAATGTTGCATAATTAATTTAGCTAACCTTTTATATCAAAATATTATTTTTAAATTATATAAACAAAAACTGCACAATTAAATCAATAGAAGTTGGAAATTGATCATTTTTATTATTAATAAGAATTTTTAAAATTTGTATAGAAGGATTTATAACAATTTATTTAATCAATTAGGCTAAGACCTTTTTAATCATGTTTTTCTAAAGTTATACCTCTAGTCCATTTCCATTATTGAATTTGTCAAAATATACATAATTACCCAATCACAAGTTATGTACAGTACATTTTTTAACCATAATAATTATTTTAAATATCAACAATAATTTGTTAATTAATCATAACACAAATTTATTTTTTAATTTATCATAATTATTTTTAAAATTGATAAAAAAAATAGCATAATAAAATTCTTATATAAAACACATGTGTTTTAAAAATAAAATAAATGGATTAATATTCAAAATCTTCTCTTCCATAGTTATATATATAATTTTTTTTTCAACATATATGTGTATATTATGTTATAAACTTAGTGTGTAACCCAAGAGAGGGGGTAACGAATAGGATAGGATTAGATGGGATAAATAGTGGAAAGAGTAGGACATTGCTTGGTGTGTAAGTGTAAAATCCATCATCTAAACCTGCTCTGCAATTCACCACTCGCAGGGGCGCAAACACTGCGCACTTTAGCCACAATGGTGCACCCAATAGCGGAGGCTAACGAGGAAAGCCCCTTCGGGACGCTAACGCCAGACGACTTCTACGCCCGTCACTCAGTGAGTCACGGTTCGGAGTTCATCACCAACCCTAGGGGTCTCAAGCTCTTCACACAGTGGTGGACCCCACTCCCTTCCACCACTGTCATCGGAACCCTTGCCGTCGTCCACGGATTTACCGGCGAATCCAGCTGGCTCATCCAGCTCACCGCCGTCCACTTCGCAAAGGCCGGCTTCGCCACCTGCGCCATCGACCACCAGGGCCACGGCTTCTCCGACGGCCTCATCGCTCACATCCCCGACATTAACCCTGTCGTTGATGACTGCATCTCCTTCTTCGAGAGCTTCCGTTCTCGCTTCGATCCCTCGCTCCCTTCGTTCCTCTACTCCGAATCCCTCGGCGGTGCCATCGCGCTATTAATCACGCTCCGACGCCGCGAAATGACGTGGAACGGCGTTATCCTCAACGGTGCCATGTGCGGGATCAGCGCCAAGTTCAAGCCGCCGTGGCCACTCGAGCACTTCCTCTCCCTCGCAGCCGCGGTTATCCCAACGTGGCGCGTGGTCCCCACGCGCGGCTCCATCCCCGATGTCTCGTTCAAGGTGGAGTGGAAGCGGAAGCTCGCGCTGGCGAGTCCGCGGAGGACGGTGGCTCGTCCGCGTGCCGCCACAGCGCAAGAGTTGATGCGGATCTGCCGCGAGCTGCAGGAAAGGTACGAGGAGGTGGAAGTGCCGTTCCTAGTGGCGCACGGCGGCGAAGACGTGGTGTGCGACCCCGCGTGCGTGGAGGAGCTGTACGCCCGCGCCACGAGTAAGGATAAGACGCTGAAGATATATCCGGGAATGTGGCACCAGATGGTTGGGGAACCTGAAGAGAACGTGGAGTTGGTGTTTGGGGATATGTTGGAGTGGCTTCGAACACGCGCTCTACGCGCCACCGCTTAAGTACAAATGTTGTAGGAGTTTATTTTATTATATTATAATATTATTATATAATAAAAAATTATGTTGGGCAAGTTGCCCGCAATTTGGATCAGCAACTTTTTTTTTTTAAGTAAAATAAATAAAATTGAAAATTATAAATGTGGAAAAATATTTATAGCTATTAATATTGTAATTAATATGGTATGGTTGGCCGGTCCAACCGTAATTACAGCTCTCAAAAGCATGACTTAACAAATTTTTATCTATTCTTTTAAATAAAATAAATAAGAATACGTGTTTTCAAGTAAAATATTGTCAGTCATCTTTTTTTAACAAATATTAACCATTGTTAAGAGTTAGAGAATTTTATTATATCCCAACAAGTTGATGGTTTGAGTAGCACTACATTCTACAATTATCATACATAACAAAATTCTTTCTTGTAATTCATTTTATTTTTTTAAGTCAATATCTTTTAACAAGACTCCAATTTTTTTACATTTTTTGAAAAAATTAATATTATAGTTATGTTTTTAACTAACTTATTATATTTACAAAACTGTACTCATCTTTTTCCACTTTCAATTTTTTGTTCTTAATCTGTTAAAAAATAATTGTTTTGGACCGTGTCCACACAATTTATTCCCGCACAAAAGAAATGTAAGGACATATATGTAAACCATAATTAAGGTCTAGGGGTCATCATCTTCCTCCAATTCACATATTTTCTTTTTGGCACCCCATGCATTACCTTTTGTTGGGAGTGTAGAAGGTAAAAAATACACGTCGAAAAGTCTAATCCAAGGTGAAGTGAGAAAAAAAATGAAGAACAAAATTTCTTAAAAAAAAATAGTTTTTAAAAATTAGGAAATTTGATCGATAATTGATTTTTCAAAATACTTATTACAAGACATTTTTTCTTTTTAATTTTTAAAAAATTAATAAGAAATGTTTTCTCATATTTTCTTTTTCATATAAACGTTTCACATTATATCAAAACATCCATTCCCATTATTATAATATTTTTAATAATCATTTTCCAAAATTTTCATAACTTTTCGTTATCATTATTAGTTTAAAATAATTTTAAAAATAGATCATCAAACAATTTTTTATAATTTATTTAAAAAAAAATCGGAAAATTATTTTTCAGAAATTAAAAAAAAATAAACTAAATTAATGTTCATCCATCCACAAAGAATTGTTTGACAAAATAATTGTTAACAAAATATTCCCACCCATTGATGTTCAACATAATGGGCCTCATATAGAAATTATTAGTGTTTGGTACTAATTCTCTCGCAATTCTACAAATTTCCTCCTCATGCCTAATCCAATTAGATGATAAAATGGGCCATGCTGGGTTACCACCTCCTGTGTGTTGACGGATCAGGTGAGGCGACTAACCCATTAATATTTTTTATATAAAATTATTTATATATTTTTAATTATATAAATAATTTTTTTATTTATTAGTTAATATTTTTATTAAATAAAATGAAAAAAATATTATATATTTATGTATTAAAATAATTAATTAGAATTAATAACTGAAATTTAATTAATTTCTATTATTTAAATAATAATATATTTATATTTTTTAATATAATAAAATATTTTTTTAAGTGATAATAAATCCATCTCATCCACTGTTAAATCAAGTTTGCAGACCGGTTCATCCTATTTTATCATCTAAATCCAACCATAACAAATTTCTTCGTAATTAATATATATATTATTAGTATACGACACCATTTATTAAATGAGTAGTTATTATTATGACAAAATAACTTTAAATTAATTATTTATGTTATAGTAAATAAATTTATCTATTATCAAAATAAATAAAATTATTTATTATAATCATACTTTTAAATAATAGGTAAATATTTTCTAGTTTCAAGAATAATTTTAAAATATTTGTTTTAATTTATTTTTATTAAATTTTAATATAATGATTTAATTAGGAGAATAAGTGGGAGAGAAAAAAAGAGAAATAAAAGATTTATACTAGAAAAGAAAAAAAAAAAAAAGGAGTGAATGAGGAATGAGAAAAAAAAAAATAATGAGGAAAGAGAACAAAATTTGTGTATAAATAATAAATATGTCTAATTGACTAAATAGATGATAAATATTCTATTTAAATAATTTTTTTAAAATATATTATTCAGGATTTAGAGTTTAAATAATAAATTAGGAGTGCCAATTCCAAGGCCTCGTTGAGTCTGTAATGGTCTTTCTTGGACATTTTCTTCCTGCATATCTATAGTTTTTTCATATGATTAAATTAATTTATATTTTATTCTTACGTTAAGAGTTGGGAATACACTTTCAGAAAAAAAATTCCAAAAATATGTTACGTAATGAATCTTTTAAAAAGTAAGTTCTGGACTATATTTATGAAATTATTTTTTCATAAATGTATTCCCATTTATCAATCTGAAATACACTTTTAAATTATACATTTTAAATGTATATTTTATATTTATTAATCTAGAATATATTTTTAAATATATTATAAAATATATTTTTCAAAATATATTTCATTTTTAAAAATATATTTTAAAATAAGTGTTTTAAAATACTTTTTTTAAATTAATCCAAAAATATATTTTTAAAAAATATATTTTAGACCCATTATTTTTAAATATATTCTAAAATATATTTTTTTAAATCTGTTTTATTTTTTAAAATATATTTTAGAATAAGTGTTTTAGAATAAGTTTTTACAAAAATTAATTCAAAAATATATTTTAACCTTAGTATTTTTAAATTCAATCTAATTTAAATATTAAATTTCGTACAAAATTTAATATTTAAATTTCAGTACAAAATATGTAATATATATATATATATATATATATATATATATAATATTAATGATTACTAAATATTTAATAAAATAATACCATAAAAAACCATATATACATATTTAGGAAGATGTAGAAAAATGAGCAACAGTGCTGAACTTTTAAAAGAAATTTTTTTTTTAAAACGAAAGTAATTAAAAAAAAGTATTTTAGTTATTATACCTAAAGAATAGAGGCGTTGGAAGAGTGACTTCCACTTGTTTCTGCATTTTTTGTACGCTAAAATAACAAAATATACCTTTCAAAATCCTTACAATTTCTAAAGCATACTAACTAAAATATATTTTAAAAATTTACATTATACATTCTGAAAGTATTCCGTTAATTTATTTCTAAAGAGGAATCTCAAATATATTTTTAACTATTTTGAAATCCTATAATAATATGAAATAATATTTTTATAACAGTTTATAATCTATTATTAAATATCCATTATAGAATTATTTTAAATATTACTTTCCAGAATTTTACATTTTGAAAATAATAATGCGAAATATTCTAAACAGAAACTTACCTTTGTTTCTAAGGCATATAAAAATAATATATATATATATATATATATATATATATATATATATAATAGTTAAAAATTAATTATAGACTTTGTATTCATTTTCGGTCTTAAATTAATTTTATCAATTTATTTACTTAAATAAACCGGTTTATTATTTTTACATAATTTCTTTTCTCTCTTCATTCCTTATTTTTTTCGTCTTTTAGTTTCTTTCTTTTCTCTTTCATTTATTCTTCTAAATAAGCTATTATATTAGAATTTAATAAAAATAGACTAAAATAAATATTTTAAAATTAACAATAAAACTAAAAATTATTAATTAGTTATTAAAAATTATGATGATAATGAATAATTTTATTTATTTAATAATAAATAATTAACTTAAAAATATTTTATTGCAATAAATAATTATTCATTTAATTAAAAAATATCAAATATTTATAAGTTGATTTTTTATTTAATAATTTAATCTAATTATAATTAGATTAAATTATGATAATTAGTTAGTTTAGGTAATTTTAAAAAATATTTATTAAAAAATTAATTCAAAATAAATATTTAATTTTTTCTTAACAATTATAACATATCAATAATATTTGTAACATTTTAAATTTATTATATAATATTTTTAAAATATAATATATTAAATTATATTATTTATTGATCATTTTAATTTTTTTATTTTTAATAATAATAAAAAAATCACTTTATCAAATTTTAATATATTATTTTTAATTAAAGAATAAGATGAAGTGAGAGAAAAATAAAAAATGAGAAAAGAGAAAATAAAAGAAAATAAACACTAAATAAACACAGTAAAAATTAGTGAAAAATAAATAAAGAGGGAGAAAAATAAAAAAATAAAAAAGAAAATATAAGAGAATAACTATTTTATGATTGAATTTTAGGTATAAAAATAATAAATAGGTCTAATTGGATAAATAAATTTAGAGGAATTTATTTAAGTAATTTTTTTCTTAAAATATATTATTTGTGAAATTATTGTCTGAAATTAGCACAAGATGTTTTTTAATAAAAATACACTGTAAATTTGTTTCCATTAAGGATATATATATATATATATAAGAAATGAGGGGTTTAAACAGCAATAAATGGGGTGCTGATAGTAATACTCAGTTAAGCATGGAAATTAAGTAAAACACCAATGAAACAAATTGGATACGAGGTGTGTTTATTTAAAGGAAAGATTTGAAAAATAATTTATGTGGCTCTTTTTTGAAACGAGTTGGGCCTTTTGTGAGGCTTGGGTCAACTGGTTTGTAAACACTTTGGGCCAGTTAAAATCTGACCTAAATCCAATTTGAATTCCTAAAACCTTGCACGAACCACTAATATATAATGGTGGGAAAGAATGAAGAAAAAAAAATGGAGGGAAAGAAAAAATCTCCTTGATTAAAAAATTTAGATTTGTTTCATTACTTAAGCTAGTTTTTTCATATCTTCATTTGAATTTTTTCACAAACGTCAATGTGATGTGAGATTAACTTTTACATTACAAACAGCAGGAAAGTAGAGTTCTCACAGAACAACAACGCGGAGATTGGAATGTTTAATATTAGGAATAGTTTTTTAAAGTTTCAGTTAGTTGCTTGATTTTATTGTTTTTCCGACAATGC